GTTTTCTGTTTGCCATCTACATTTTATGTGTGAACCATTATTCATCACAGCGTACGCAGAATGAAAATTAGTTTTGCTCAGACGTACCATAGGAATTTTATTAGGGTGTGAGTCGTGAATAGAAAATGTTCTATAAAGTTCATAGACGGGCTTCAGCTTCGAATTCACATCTACAATCCACGTAAAAAGGCCTTGCGAAAGAGGTCTTGCAGTAATTTATCCTGGGAGCTGTTCTCCATGGTGCAAAGTGTTCAAGAAGTGGATATGCAACCATCACTCGAACAAACAAGATATAGAGGACAACAGTGAGGGGCGAAGATAAGCGAAGGTGAAGAGTTGTTGCGTGGAGTTGAAAAATCGAGAAGAGGAGTAATTCACCTAGTTGAGGGACCCGCGGACCTCCTGAGGGTGCGGACTGAAGCGCAATTGGCACCGAAGGAGTTGACCTCGGCGACCTATTAAGGCTCAATCTTGGCGCGGTGGGCCAGTGCACGCCCACCGATCATCTGATCACTCGCCGCAGGTCTATACGTGGCGAGTGATTAGATAGGTGAGAGAGCGTAGTGTTGAAGAGGGCACAGCGATGAGAGTCGCATCAATGCTCAAATCAACGGGCAAGGAAGGGGTCCCATTTCTCGGGTTCTGGGCCGTTTCTCATGGTTTTCCTTCTTTGGTGTACCACTCATCATCGCTAGTTAATTTGAAATGGGTTGCTTTCCAGCGTGAATTCGTCTTTAAGCCGAGACGCAATACAAGGGTGTCTATGACTGGTGTTACACCCAAATTTGGAAAATATACAGATGAACCACCTCTTATCTCGATCGATCGAAATCATTTATTTAGACATTTCCGTCTGAATCTTTAAATTCTACATAGGCTTTTTGCTATTATAGCGTGTTCATACTTTGCGCCAAACGAGCGTATTGAGCGACGCACAAATTCAGCATTCCGCTGGCTGCCGTGTCGGCTAAGGCAACATGGTTGTGCAGGCAATTTGACAATTAGGCGAATAGGCGCGGAAGATTGATACGTTCGATTTGCTTCGCTTCGTTCACTGAATGGTGAATGGTCGCCCATTTGCCTACTAGCCTAATCCCCTTTTCAACTTCGCTGCCTAGTCGCGCTTCAATCAATAGTGTTACTCCTTCCAACCTAGGCCCTAATTTAGTTCTGTTTTCCCGTTCACTTTCTAAAAATTCAGAAAGGCTCCTGGTCTTGTTGAGTTCTATGAAATGATTTCTTTTTCACGCATTGTATGTTTTCTCTTCACATGTTTCGGCTGGCTACGCCAACTCTGGGAACAAATTATTGAACTCAGTGGCGTGAAGGTTCCACAGAGGCCAGCGTGACATCTGGAACACACGTGATCTAACTTTTCTCCTTCGTTATGCCTCGCAGATGTTAAGTCATCCACCCACGCAGCAATCTCGGAATTCTAGAGGCAATGGATGTGTTCTACGGACATCATCGTGGTAATGTTTTTCTCTGCAATGACAATTATTCTTTGCTGATCTCCATCCAAACCTACCATGTCTCAATCTAGATGAACGTGAGGCCAAAAACTCCATCATTCCTCTGGGACATCCACTGTAACATTTTGATTTAGAGTAGTAAAATTCCGCAAGATTCTGATTGCTACGAAAGCATATTTGTATTCGTACCCAAAAATCAATATTTGCCTGCACTTGCAGATGTTTCTGCGACGCACTTCCAATATCTCTGTCCTTTATCGAAATGAGCGCTCATAAACGGATGAGAGCAAAACATGCACCATATGTAAAGGCAGCCGATTTGTGAGATTATAATCAGTTCTCATATACAAGCTATTTCCGATTTTGTGCACGTGTCTATCTTATTTATATCGTTTCAGGTTCCTTTTGAAATAGGTCGCTTTTAGATTTGTATTGAGTAGTGTGTGATGAATCGAAGCTCCAATTCCGTTCCCGTTCCTATATACAGGGGGGGGGGGAGGAGGGGCAAAAAAGCCACTTTGCCCACGGCGAACTCACCAATTTTTTTTGTCGCACAGGATTTCCGTTCGTTGATGACAGTGGCCATTCACGGCCCAGAATATTTCCAGTACATGTCCCCCCCCCTCCCAAAGCAGAAGGCAGGCCCTCCTTCACTGCCCCCACTGTCTTCAGAATATGACGTCATCTGCCGTCACCGTCGAGCTCAACGAGGCTTACCGTAATCGCTCCGGCCTGAAGCTGCTACATAATTTCTTCAACCGATTAATTGGTGAATAGCTTCTAGAGACACTAGCTGTGACTGTGCAAGACCGCTTTTGACCAGCGTTTCAGGGACGTCGTAATGGTCTATGGTACCTCGACGAGAGGTAAGCAAACCAGCCCTTTTGGCGTTTCTGCTGGGGCCGTATGCTGAATGTTGGGGAGGGGATGGGGTCCCCGAGCTCGACGGACTACTTGAACTCGGTCGGTACGGTAGGAGAGTGATGACGAAGTGGTGCAGCTAGGTCCAGCAGCTCCGCCAAAAGGGCTGGTTTGCTTACCCCAGGACTAAGCCTTGGAGAGAGGGCGGACCTGCGCTACCTCGCATTACCGTCCTCCCTTTAAGGCTTAGTCCTGAGGTAAGCACAAATTGGGGCGGTTTCAAGGACCGAGTTGAAGTAGTCCGTCGACCAACATTCAGCATACGGCCCCAGCAGAAGCCTAAACGGGCTGGTTTGCTTACTTCCCTCGACGACCCCGTGTTCGAGCTCGCCCACAGGTGGACTTATATTACCGAATGCGGAAATCTTCTTGAATAGTCGGTCGATGTGAGGGATGTCTTCTGCATAGATTAAAAATTGTGCCTCTTGATTCTCAGTTGGGCTCATTTGGTTTGGTTCTCTAGCCTGTAATTGATTCCGTTTCCAATGTGAAAGGAGGTGACTCTTTTTTGCCCCCCCCCCTCCGTAGTTCCTTATCGAGCAAGCTTTGGTATGTATTGCTTTTATTCAAGTTTTGTATTTTTCTTCTACTCTGAATGAATGGTAAAGCGGAAAGCTTGACCTCCTATCCAGGCTCCCAACATTGTGTTACCATTTCTGAATAATTTTTCTTAGTCATTGTTGATGAATTGGATGGTTTAGAAAACATGAATGCTTCATGGATCAAGAGCGCTTCTTCTCCACCATTCATTCAGCCTAATCGATGACTCATGTTTCTTTTTGTGCGAACCAGATCCGACGCGTAAACGCAAGGTTGAAGAAACGTGCGTGTGTGTCTCGTTCACAAGCCCGTCACGTTTTTAGTTGTGCTGTCGTTGAGAAGGATGACCAGCCTTTTCTCGCCTATCCTTTTCGTTATTTTCTTTGTATTCGAGAGTGGTACGAATTTAAAGGAGAGCACGATTTCTGGGTAGCAGAAATGAGTCACGATAATGTGTCGCACGTCCACAAATGGTCGTTGGAAATTCCTCGGTGTGATCGATAGGCGAAGGCATATCGGAATGAGTCAGCGCTTGCCCTCGAAGACCGCTGTCTCACTACTCTTCCGGTCATTTCTTTTGTCATTCCAAGCACTCTATCCACATATCTGTTGCTTTTTGATGAGTTCATCTGTAGTAAAGTTAGCCATTCCTTCTGAGATTATTAGCTGTGCGTTAAATGTGAATGGTTGCTTCACTGTTCGATATGTGGTATTTGAACTGTGGTTATACTGCTGGATCGTCATGTTGTGAGAGAGTGCAGAGAATCAGAGTACTTATCAGCTGTCGAAGTCCTTTATATAATTTCGACTTTGCTGCGTCTGTTCGAATATCATCATTATTTCAGTGATTAGTCGCTCTGCTATAGTGACGTTTTGCTCGCTAATCGCGGATAATCCTGTCTTGACTCTTCTGCAGATCTCCCGTCAAGATTGATGCAGTTTAGCTCCATTTTTTCTCTAGTAGCAAACCTCTTTGTGTTCGTTACCGGCAATACTTGCATGATGCTGAATCGAATGGCTTGCCTAATTATTTCCATGATCAAGACTTTCCAGGTAGAACCTCCTCTCAAGAACCGACAGTACTGTCAATGTTCTAATCATCTATAATGGCTTCAACTCAAGTTGGTTTATTGTATTTTATTTCTTTTACTATCATTACAACTTCTTTCTAATTTATATAAACTGCTAAATTGGAGCATACATGTTGTCCGTCCACAAAGAGGGAAAATCGCCAGCAAACCCAGGGTCCAAATCAGTGTCAGATTTATTGACGTGATGCCCTGATGTAGCGGGACCCTTCACTACACAAGATAGCCGTTCTGTGCATGCGATTCGAACGAGCTTACAAGTTACATCATTCGATATCAGATGTACAGATGCGTATTACTCCACGAAGTAGACCTCATACTTGAAAGTGAACATATAAAGCCGTCGAATTTTTGAAGGAAAATGTACGTTCCTGTAGTTGTCGGAGGCAAAAGTGTTTTTTATGTACATTGTACCCGGTTAGATTCATTTTCTGCGTTTTGTAATTCGACTCGCAGTAGTTTCTGCTCCTTAAAGTTATAATTGCGCTCGTTTTTTTTTTTTTCGTTCAAGTAATTTTTACGGGTACCTCCATTTTCCTTGCATACAACTAATCCTGTTTTGCCACGCTACGGGATTAATGGGATTTGAAGCTCCGCTCTTATGTGGAGCGAACATTTTTCATTAAGTTAGTTTGACCTCTTTTCACAGCATAGCCCTAATTTATAGAAAAAAGCATCGTCGTATAACTCGCTCCCCTGTCGAGGGATTCGCTCTGCTTTCAAAAATCAGACTAGGCGTACTTCATCAGTGCGACCCTGTGCCGTTCAAATATACCTGTTTTCGCTCATTCATAACAAATATATTGTCGGTAGCTATTTCAAATTTATTGAAAGTTAAAAGAAAATTGCGTATCCCTTCCATTGTTATGATTCGCGAAATGGGTTCAAACAGCGTGTGAGGTTATATTAGTTAGAGATCAGTCACTAACTTTTTAAAAACGAACGGCTGTTTCTTATGTTGCAATTGACTTTGATTAAAAGCCTTCTTCAGGGTGAATCATGCGTAGGCAACGTTGAAAGTCTTTCGATCGTATGTCAAGATTTCTGCGAGCAGACCTCCTTTGTCGGTACACGAACCGAAAAAACGTGAGTTTGAAGAAGTAATTTTGATTGAAATTGCTCAATGCGGTAGCGATTTTGTTTCAGCTGTTTCGTCGAAGCCATCGCAGCCCTTACAACATGTTATAACAGCATTCGCTTATTCAGCGGTGCAAGATGATGAATTAACACTGGAATTGGGCGATGTGATTGAAGTAAGCCGTGTTTGCTATCAAATTCACTGGTGCTCAGATAGCCTTTTTTCATTTCTCTACAAATTAACCCATACAGGTACTGGAAGAAGTCGAGGATGGTTGGAGTCGTGGTCGTCAATTGCGCACGAATATTATTGGCATGTTCCCTACTAACTTCGTGAAACCTGATGGTTCGTGCCTCCATTGCTAATTTTTTTATTTGCAATCTTTTAATCGAACCACATCTTATAGTTCCTCCATCAAGTACTCTTATTCGAGAAGACGATAAGGTAGTAGTTAGGCGCTCTGCAGATCCTGATCAACCTGAAGCAAATCGAAGGACGCCATCAGCTATTGGAGGTGTCAATATCTTTGGAGGAAAAACAGTTCATTCTGAGCCGAAGGATGAACCGAAGACCAAAGGTATGGCTTGAAAATACAAAAGAATTTGATCACTTGAATTTATGTGTTTATTCATTTATTTGTTTATTTATTTGCGCATAAGATGTGCACTGACAAACCAAACAAAAAAAAACAATTCTGGAATAAAATTTCTCGCAGAAAAACAAAAAAGAAGTTGTAGGTAAGCAATTATCTAGTGTGAAACTAGATAGGATTCCCGGAACAAATCCAGTTTGGTTTTTTTTTTTTGAAAGAAAAGTGAAACTGGTATACTATAGCGGTAAAAGTCAAATTAGAAGCACGTACAAGTAGCAGAGATTTCTAGTAAAAAAAAATCCCTAATTTGTGATATTCCTATGATCAGCCCTCGGACAGCAGGGATTTGGCATATATAGAAAAGGTTGAGTTGAAAGAATGTTCTTATGTCGTGCTACGTAAACAAGAAATATTCTCACAAAAAACTAACTAGAATTTTGCTGGTATGTAGCATGATATAGCATGACAAAAACATTTTTGCAACTCAACCTTTTCTATATATGGCCAAATCCCTGCTGATTCAGCGTATTTTGGAAGTTAGCTCGCTGTCCGCTTCAGCATATGTTTCTTCCCATTACTACTTCAAAATCTACCGTGTTATTGTATATTTTACTTCCTAGTTCTTGTAACATGGTGTTTTTTTTTTTAAATTTGAGCATACTGCCTTGAATTGCAAAACCTCGGTATTTCCAGAAATGGCACGGGTAAAGTTCGAATACGAACCTCAGCACAGTGATGAATTGAAGCTAGGAGAAATCGGTCAACTGGTTACAATTATTCGGAAGGATTGTGGAGATGCGGGATGGTTCGAGGGAGAAATCAATGGGCGACGCGGTCTGTTCCCGGATAACTTCGTTGAGCTTGTCCAGGTGTGCTTTCGAAATAATTTGTAAATCATTTTTCGTCACTATCAACAATTGAAACAAAGCGGCTGTCATCACCACTATTAGTGAAGAAAGCTGGTTGCGTCTTCCCAAGGAACTTTGATATACCCGCTGTTCTGACAATGTTTTAATGGGATATTTCCTACTTACTTCCTTGAGGAGTTTTCGCTCAAAAACCATTTAACCCATAACGGACGGCCAGTGTATTTGTTGCGTGCGCCACCATGTGGCGCACGCCGCCACCCAGGGTAGGGTTTATGTAGGCTTATGTGAACAGCAGGGGTAAGACGGGGCTAAAGTAGGTGTCCGTGTCTCATCATCCAAAAGAAGAGATTTCCGTTGACGACAAGTTCGTAGCCCGCCTTTCCGCTCTAAAACTAGGGTGCAAAGAATGAATGGAAGCTGTAGGTGACATTATCGAAAAATGCGAAACAACAACCCCGAGCAAGGATGTGGCTATATTTAGGGGAAGGGGTCTCGGGACGTGCGAACCATGGGTAAGCCACCCATCAAATAGTAAACTTATGTAAATTAAGACAAAATGTATGTAAAATTTATTGTAGGTTTGTCAAAAATCCAGCCGTCCAGGTCCTGGGAAGATATGTTATTCCACATTGCTGAGAGTATATATGGGTATATTAAGATTGCTAGAAACATTCCAAAAACAAAAGAAATAGTCGTGCGCCACCTTGTGGCGCACGCCGTCCGTTATGGGTTAAATTTGTTTTTATTGCGATCAACTGCGGGTTACATCTACGCCACAGTTATGTAACTTTGCCTCCTAGTCGTGTGACTGGTAGCACAATTGCCCGGAAAGCAAGGAATCGGGATACAAATCTCGCCTGGGTGGAAGTTTTGCCCCTTTACTCAGCACTCTTATGATAGCTATCTTTAGATTTAAGAGGGTTATCTGTAAACTGCGAAGTGACTCAGTACAAGGTACAAACCAGTTGAATTCTTATGTGTGGTAAATGGTACAAGCATGTTCTAATATTTTCTCTTGCAGGTTCCTATTTCCACTCAGTCAGGGACCATTTATCATCCTCCTCCCACCCATCTCTCAAAAATTGTCGCTAAAACTCCTATGGTGAACCCTCCGGGAATGGTACCACCTGCGGTACCAGCTAAGCCGTTGAAGCAGAAGTTGTCGGAAAGTTCAACGTCTATCAACGGTGCTGGTTCTTCTCCTCCATCTTCCTACGACCAACGTTGCCCTCCAACACCACCATGTACTTACCTTTCACAAGTCAAACGCAACAAAGTGTCTGTTTGCAGCGGCTCGGAACCGCATCTCAAAAGTGAGACGTTCACATTTTTAGTTTTTTTGTATGCAGGCTAGTTCTAGTTCTCTTGAATTTTCATGGTGGCATTTTCTATTAGTTTGTTCATTGAACTTGTTGCAGTTTCGTTCATAAGTGTTGTACACAATACAGAGACCTGCTGAAAAAATAAGTGCTTTTGGTAAACCTGTTCTGGTCTTGGTTTGTATATTCATCGGGTTGGTTCCCCAAGTAGACATAAGTTATGGGAATCATATGATTGCGAGGTTCAATTAGGTGAACTTAAATTGAGAGGAAAACTTCATAGAAGAGGTTCTTTGGTAGTCTTTCGGGTAATGGTAGGTATAGGTGGTAATTTCTGGCTTGTTTAGTCGGTACTCATCTGCTTGTTGACTTCATAACTTGAAGTTTGCTTGATCTTATACAAACGTATCAAAAGATTTTAACATACAATGCTCTGCTCCAGGATCTTATTGTTGGACAACCGGGACAAGTGTCGTCGAAGTTGACGAAGTCTGTAATTGTCACTTCTGGTTCTGAGGGTGTAGCGACGAGCAGACCTATGAGTAGCGTGGAATCTGATGAAGCGTCTGATGAAGTGGTCAGACCGCTAAGCCACGTAACCAAAACTCGAGCTCGTCCTCCTGGAAAGCGACCTGCAAGTATGATGCTGATAAAGAAGAAAGGTGTAAGTCAATCTTGCATTCTCTACTGTAGTGTTTTAGTTGATACTGAGTATTCATGTGATTTGTTTAGTCAATGGACAATCTTCTTGAAAGCCCCTCTAAACCGATGGCTAGTGAACTTCCAGAGAAAAGTTCCTTTACAAGCGCAATTGGGACCGTCGTTACCATCACCTATTACTACTCTTTCGACAAGTCGTGAATTACATGTTAGTTCATGAATTATGCTAATTTTTTTCATCTTTCTTTTCGATACACATTTTTGGACTATGAGGTAAGCTGAGAGTCCATGGGTTTCATTTTCGGCTATTTAGACTGTGTCTCCTGCTCCAATTACCCCACCAGCAAAAGTGGTACCCGTCCGACCTCCTCCTGCTGAAATCAAATTAGAGGACAAGAAGGAACATTCGTCCAGTAAGTACGCCATGCCCTTCTATATTTCATCTTGTCAATCCTCCAT